CTCTAGAGTATTGTTAGATCTTCTTCTTCTTTCTTGGTGGCCAAAGGCCTTAACGGTCTCGGTTTCAATGTACCACTTTGACCAGAAGCAAGTTTAACGTCCATGAGTTTCACGAAGCCATCCACCCATAGACACGTAAATTTTCTAATCTTGGAACATCCAGTAAATCTTTTGTACAAATCACAAAATACCTCGCTAAAAGGTCAAAGCCTGCGATATTGTTCAGAAATACAGGTATATTTCTATACCCGGAATCCAATTTTGTCCATCCTGGGTCAAAGTCAGCTATGTTTCACACTTTTTCATCGAGCGATGGCCCAGAGCTGAGAATGCGATGCACTACACATGAAGGACAAAAACTGTTTGTTATATCTAATCACTAGGGTATCTAAACATGGTAGGTGGCCATCTTTTTCCAACTCAAAGGTGAATTTAATAAGGGGAATACAATTATTCAATTCGGAAACAAAATCATCTTTCGTTTTGATCGAAAATAGCAAAGATATCATCCACGTATCTTACCCAAATCCTCGGAAAATACTCTGAGCTTCTAAGTTCCTTCCCAAAGCGGCTCATGAAAAGATCGGCTAAAAAGGGGGACAAGGAGTTCCCCATAGCAAACTGTCAAGAAATATGTTGGACAATCCAAACGATCTATCCAAGTAAGGTTCAAAGAGTACTTTGCCCATGCTAGATTTGGTAGGACAGAGAAATCGAGTGTTGCCCAATATATACTTAATGATGGTAATAGAATAGGATTTGACAACCTTAAACTTATAAAGGAAGTTAGGGAATCAAGTCTGCTATATAGTTACGAAGATTTATACATCTTTAAATAGCGATAACAAAAAGTTTGAGTTTGTTAGTTTCTTTTTTGGGTTTTAGAATATGTCATCTCTTTAATCTTACTGGTCCGTCTACCCATTTTGACTAGCGTCTACGTCCCAACTGCAACTTCGGTGCCCTGGCTCTGTTGCCTTTCAATATGCAATTGTGTGGAAAATTTAAATATCCCGCCATTAAAAATTACAGATTCTTCTAGTCAGAAAATAATATTAATTAAAATTATTATAATTAGGAAGTTTATTATACAACCCAATTCATTATACAAACCAAACTTAACAACCCAACCCAACCGACCCCGCCCCATTGGGCCTTCAGAAACCTAATGAAAAAGAGCAAGAGACTATTGCTATTAATTTATTAATGTAAAATAAAAATAAAATTATACATTTATTAAAATAATATTTTTTACATTAGTAGTTTTTATTACTACATACCAATTTTTATAAATTTGTATTTCAGTTGTTTTTACGTATTATTTTTTACTTTTACCAAAGATTAGCTTAGAAACATATGTTTTACTTAATTTAAACAAAATTAATTAATTAATTAAAAGTAGGTAATAAGCTGAATTGGTTTATTACAGAATTTAATTATTGGGTTATGTTAGAATTTAAATATTTTTACTATATCATAGTCAAGCTGCCACCAAATATTTGGTTAAATTAATTTATTAAAAAAACTTAAATTTATTAAATAAAAATATCAACATTTATCTATTTTATTTTTTATGTATATATTATATTATATATGCATATATAATATAATATATACATATACATAGTCATGACTATGCTTAATAAAACAATCATTGATTTATAATAAAAACAATCATTGATTTATAATAAATTTCCTAATTATAATAATTTTAATTATTATTATTTTCTGGCTAGAAGCATCTGTAATTTTTAATGGCGGGATATTTAAATTTTCCACACAATTGCATATTGAAACGCAACATTTGCTAGACACTACATTTGTAAATCTAAAAAATGTATACTGTCTACCCTAGTGAGAAAACAAATTTTGGGGTCGCATTATTTCCGCTATATAGTAACAAATATGAAACCACCAAAACGGGTGGACATGATAATCAACATGTTAAATAAAAATGTTGTATATTATCTATAAAAATAATTAAAATGTACATACCCAAAATATATGTTTTCTGTTTATCAAAGTGCTCCTGCAAAAAACATAATATTAATACATAATACATAAATCAAGAAACTGTTAATTATAAGAAAAAATAAAAAACAATTAAACGAAAACCAAATTTACTTATGTGCTAGTATATTTCTTAACAAATGAAAGTTATTGGCAGAGATTTTACTTTTAAAAATTTCACTTTTTTATTTGCAGAATAAAACAGAATAAACTCTTATATGGATTGCTATTAAACCAAAATTAACGATTAACTTTTACTAATTAGAAATTAAATTAAAAATCGTGTAATTTATATACTTCCTTCCTAAATTTTTAAAATTATCTCATAAAATTTAATTAATTGTCCATTAAAATGATAAACTTTAACTTTTACTACCTGAAAATTAGTAAATGTAATACATTTAATTTAAAAAATGTATTAAATTAATATCTGCAATGCTTATATAGTAAACATTTTCATCAACATTTAATTACAAATTTAAATCTATTTTTTTGTAATTTAAAAGAAATTAGTTGATTTAAAACAAGTACCTACTATTGTTATTTTAATAATTAAAATATCATCTTTAAATTTTAAAATTAAATAATTTAAATATTTTCATATGTTAAGATTTTTAAATGTTATGAGTTTTTTTATTTTATTAACAATTTAAAACAAAAATAAAATTAGTACTTTTAAAAAACTTTAAAAATTTTATTTTTATTATTTTATTGCTTTAAACTACTTATACCGAAGGTAAAAATTGTTAAAAAACTCTTCTTTTTTATTTTAAAATTTATGAGACCATAAACATTGATTTTTTAAACTTAAAAGTAATAGGTTTACCTTGATTATATTATATAGATTAGGTTTAATGTACAGAACTACAGAAATAGTGGTTTTATAAGAAATAAATGTTTCAACTTATGAAAAAATGCATTTTAAGATTTTTCAGCAACAATACGCATGCGTTTAGTAATGATGTGCAACAATTAATTATCACAACAATTAATTGGTCAATTGATTGTTATCTATTGACATTACAATATACACAATAATTGACAGTTAACATTTTAAATTAGATTCTGTCACAACATTTCTGTTAAATATTGATGTATTTCTTTAGTGGGAAGTCTCTCATGAGTATTGTGATATGTTAAACTTGTTTTTTTGCCACATTTAATTATATTATATTGTTTATAAATATACTTTGGTATTTTATTTATTTTATTTATAAATATACTTTGGTATTTTTATTATTTAAAATTGGTACTCATGTTTAAAGCCTTAATTTTATTTTAACATTTTCGTTTAAATGTTGGAATTAACAAAAAAAATTTAAAAACAAAACAGAATTTTGATGAAATAATTAATTTGTGCTGAATACATACAATAATTGTTTTACTCAATGAAGAAAATTTTTAATTTTTAGGGTCCCTAGAATTTGCTAACTAAAATCCCGAATAGAAAAAAGAAACTGTATGTTCTGTTTGAAAAATGCTTAACACATTTAGCCTGGGTGTCTGTATATGTCAATGTGAGATTAATATTTGTTTATTTTTTCTTCATAGATTTAATCTATGGTTTTATTAGTTTCTGACAGGTACTCCCTGTATTTGCTTTTGTCTGACGTAAAATAAATAACCTCTAAGTAAAAGTCAAAAATTTGACACTCGTTTGTTATGATTACTAAGAATTAAACTACAGTTAATTTTTTTTTATCTGGACTCGTGTTTTTTGTTTGGTTGGTGGCTTATGGCAGTTTTTAGTATTTAAAAATGACACTGTCAAATTGACAATAATATTTATTATTGATAATTTACTTGTCAATTATAAATAAAAAGATAATTAGGCCAAAAATAATAGCAACGAATTCGAATGTAAAAGCCCTTTTGAGGGAAAACTTCATTTTGATGAAATTATGCCAAATGCCACAATGGAAGAAAAAGTACATCGCCTTATGGATATTTTTGGAGTAAAAAACGAATTTGCTTTTATAAATATTACATCACACATTATTTTCACATTATTCACCATTGGACAACATTTACGTTCAAAATTTCTTTTATATAAATTCTTTTCAAAGCGAAGACTATTATCCGCTAGGAATACTTTCTCTTCTGGGCCGTAAAGCAACCTATATTTAACTACTTTTTTTATATGATTTTACTCATCCAAGCACCACCAAAGCCAAATTAATTGCATTTTTAACTACGAATTTCGACAACTCAACTTGACAACTGCACAATGTAACCTACAATAATTTAGCTTAGTTTGTTTTAATGAATGCGACCAACTTGACAACTGTATTTACCAACCAAAACCCTAAATTTGCAACGTTGCCGCAGTCCAGATAAAAAAATGAACTTTATTTTATTAGTACGCAATGTTGCCATTTTAAAAAATATTTATCTTTTTTAACAAGGATAGAATTTTGTATCAATTTTTTGGGATTTCTTAGGTTCAAGGGGGTGCGCCACTTCTGGGACACCCAGTATAAAAAGAAAACATTAAGTGACTTTTTAAAAATAAAAAAGTTAAAATTTGTTATTTATAACAAATTTATTATGACTTAGTTTTGTTTTTAGACATTAACCGTATCAAATTAATATCACAGCATTTTTAAGTTTTTTATCCTTAAATCTTAACACTTTGGATCAGAAAAAAATGACTAAAATAACTTTCCTTAGGAATATTTTGCGTAGTTAGTGTGCTATTTTTGGGACACACTGTATAAGGTAAACCAAATAATACACAAACAACATTTTTTTATATGTTTCAGTATTTTTAATTTAAAATTAATTTCCTTAATTGCATTTGCAATAAATTTAAAACAATTGTCAACACAACCGATTGCATTGTTTAACTGCTGAATAGTGCATATGCATCGCAGTGAGTTCCCTACCATTTGTTTTCGTGCCTACCCCAAATGCTTACCGACAAGAACGTTACACCTATTTGCTAGATCATACCAAGCCTTGACCTCCAACTGTTTTGCTATATAAAAGGATTTAAAAGAATTATGGCGCGTATTTCTTTTGCGCGTCGCAAGAACTGATGTAACTAAACAAAAATGAAGGTGTTTGCTGTGATTTCTGTGTTTTTGTTAGCTTTTGCTGCCGTTTCTGCTGAGGTAAATATTTGTTTGTAAATGTGTTAATTTTTAATAAAGGTTTAGCTGTAAAGTATTAGTTAAAATGTTAAATAGGAGGCATACATTTTTGTCATACAAACAAAGAAAATTTTTTTGAACTTAATGCAATTTATTGTATAGTACAACTATTATTGCACAACTTTCGAAAATATAATCTTTGCAAATACTGAAAATTAAAAATATTTATATATGTATATATATATATATATATATATATATATCTATATATATATGTTCTGCTTTAGGTTTCCACGGGCGTTATATGTATTAGTGGTTTTTCGGGATCTGCTCCGTGTTGTCGGTTTTTGGTTTTGAAAAGAACCGTATGTCTGAGGACGTTTTGGTACAATCTCATGTACCATCTTCAGGTCTTATCTGCTGGGCTGCTGTTGCTGCTCTCCACGTCTAACTCGCAGCAGAGCAGCAACTGCAGCCCAGCAGATAAGACCTGAAGATGGTACATGAGATTGTATCGAAACGTCGTCAGACATACGGTTCTTTTAAGAACCAAAAACCGACAACACGGAGCAGATCCCGTCACATTAATTAGAAGTGCAAGAAACTTTAGAGTGAAAAATATTCTGCAGATTATTTTCAATTAAGTAGATTACTGTTCAATGGTTATAACAAATTACAAAATTGTTTCAAACGAGTATTTTTTGAGTAACAAGTATATAAAACTAAATTATTTTTCTTTATAAATTTTTTAATATAATTCGATATTCAAAAAAATAACATCGGCAAAAATTTGTTAGGATCATTTCAATAAAAGTATCATCGTGTTTAATCAAACTTATTATTTTTTAGAAATTCGTCAAAAAATGTTTCTTTTTCGAGTTACTGAAAAAAACAATGAGTTTGAAAGAAGACACTTTTAAATAGGAAAATAATCCTTTTTACCGAAAATTGAAATACGATGTTATTATTTGCGAACATGAATTTATTCTTGTAAAAGAATTAAACAAAATCTTATAATGATGCTTTAAAAATAAAACAGTAATTAATTTTTGACAAAAACTGTAAAAATGCATCTATGTTAATTTTAGATGGCGGAAAAATGCTTGTTTATTTTGTTTCCATAGCAAACATGATTAGAAGTATGTTATTTGGCATGCTCAAAAACTCTTCATTAAGTTGTTAATTTTTTATATACTTTCTCGCATGGTATGGAATAAAAATATCAAAAATTGTTTACAATACAATATTTATAAGAATTTATATAATAATAAAAATCACGTTATTTAACCTTTACGGTTTTAGTTAAAATAATAATAATAATGTACAATAAGAAAAAAGCTAATATATTAGCCGAGCTCAGATGAAACCAGTCCCATTAATAATTTAAATTTTAAACTGCGTACATATACGGGAATTTTATTTTTATTTATTTTTGTGGCTTGCAAAACTTTTTAAAAATTATTTTGATTCTAATATTTTTTGAAAACTAGACCCAAAATTGATTATATTTTGAAAAAATAATACTTTTATAAATTTGCCCATTTAATTCGTTCTTACTTTTATCAAAACAATTTTAAACTAAATTTATAGTATAGTAAGAACATTTTTCAGACATTTACTATTTAAAATCAACAAAATTTTCAATAGTTACAAAGAAGAAAATTTTTAAATGGACAGGAAAGACAAATTATAAAATATACATACATTTTAAGGTTTTCTAGGTATTTTTCAAAAACCAGCTTTTTATTTTACATATGCCCCTTACTCTTTCAATTAATAAACAACTAACAATTTGACAGTTGCACTTATCACTGGCGCCATCTGCCACTCTTTTATGGAAAGAGACAGAAGGGACATAACATATTGGTGACAGCTTTAATTTTAATAAAAAGTATTCAAGATTTTACTTTGGAATTGGCAAAATGGTAAATTTAGAAAGAAAATGCTTAAAAATTATTTTAAAAATAATAATGATATAATAATAATATATATAATATAATAATAATAATAATAATAATTGTCATTAATAGGTATACCTATATATACCAATATATTAATGACAATTATTACATTTCAAGATAAACTTGCCAATGTTAAATTACAGAAAAAGTTGTGGGGATACAGAGAAGGGTAGTTTTGCCAATCATTTTTAATATGAAGTTTGGAAGATTATAATCCAACTTAAGATGCACAAAATAAATTGGCGCACCCTATATATACCCTATATGGTATACCATAAAGAAACTTTAAGAAATTATATTTTTGCTTTTTTAAAATATTTTTTGATAAAAAATCCCATATAGGCTTAGGAGTGTTATAATATGAACATTACTATGCGCCCAAAAAAGTGCTTTGTATTTAATTTAATATTAAAATTCTATAAAGTTATACCCGGCGCATCCGCCAATTTTTTAAATATACACGGATGCACCAATTACCCCTAGATTTCTAAACTATGTTTTTAAATCTTTTGATTTCAATTATTTACTAAACTACTTAATTTTAAAGGATTTTTTTTACTTTTTTGAATAAGAAGTGATGCAAAAGCACGTCTACACGATTTTTGTATTTTTTTTTTCAAAAATGACCTTATGAGCGGTTTTTCGTGTTTTTCTTAAAATCACTTATCCTGCAAATACAGAGTTGTGCATCTAATGTACTATCTAATAGTTTAATTTTAGTTCAAACTTGTTTGCGGTTACTTGTACTTAAACAATAAACATTTGTTTCCTTATTTGCACCAATCATGTAACGCAAAATTACATCAACAACATTTTCTTTTCACCTTCAATTTGCACCTATAGAACTTTTTACACAATCCAGATAATTTGATTTCCTACCGCGACGGTTTATTTAATAGTTACAATAATAATGAAATAGTAAATACGTTTGCAAATATCCGGCTATTATGTTTTTAGATCGAACTAAGCCCGTAAATATAATTGTGTTTGGTAATTGATGGAGGCAACAGCACAAAGTGATCGAACCGAATTTAATATTTAATTTGTAAGCCCTAAATAGATTTATACTCCATAAATTCGACGAAATGACAATTGGGTTTGTTAACTTTTCTTGCGTGAAATGAATTTACAGCCGTTATATGCTTTAAATTATTGAGTGAGTTCATACATTTAAGAAATATTGCATTTTTTCCAGATTATTATAATAACTAAAATAACTACAGTTTTACCACATATAACTTAATATAACTTATACTTAATAATTTATTGGACCTATGTTTTTGTTTCCTTTATATTCTGTACATTTTAAACTGAATAGAGTTAAATTATAAATTTTCAAAAATTATTTTTAATATTTTTACCTTGTTGTACCATACTTAGAGAAATGAAAATTTTTAGGACTAGAACTGCATCTTTTTTTTTAACTGGCAATATTGCAAAATATTCGATTCTTCAATCTGAAATATCTCGAAAGGGACACGTTTTAAAAGTCCAATATTTTAAATATTGAATTATGGTCTGGTAATAAGTGATTTAATTTTTAGACTTAGAATTTATAAGTTATGTAGTTTATAAATTTTTAAAATATCGATTCGTCTAAAATCAGGTATTATAATAATGTCTGAGTGATATTTTAACAATTCATACTATAAATGTTTTCTTTATAATATATTATATTCTAAAGAAAACATTTCTTATAGCGTGAATTCTTAAAATATCACTCAGACATTATTAGTTTTTTGTTACAGTAAAAATTTAAAAGAAAAACACATTGTTAAATTTATTTACAAGAATAAGAATTCTTGTACTGTTTACATTCTTAACAAAACAAAAAGTACATTTGTTTACATGGTGTCTCAAAAGTCGCTCGTGCTAATCATACTAATGCGTAAAGTGTAAAAAACTAATCTTGGTGAAATTTATAATACATGTATATTGCATAGTACTTTAATTGAATTTACCTTCATAATATCCACAGGCTTTTTCGAATGATATTGTTTATCTTTAGTCAAAACTTCTTTATCAAAACCTAATAAATCTCCAATTGAATCATTTTTTGTTAAATCAATATATTGATCAGATTTAATAATACATTTTAAAGTAAACTATATTTTACCGAAAAATCATTCAATTTTAAATTTAAATAATCGTTTAGAATAAATTAATCTTATATTTTTTTATGTGTGTATAGTTGTTACATCAATATACAGGGCGTTTAAGAAATTTTATTAAGGAAAAATCAAGTGTCCGGTTAATTTTGCGGTCGAGTGTATAATAATGGATTCTGAAAATTTTGTATTTTTAAAGTGTGTTCCTTCTGGAATGTTTTAGAATAAAAATAACCGATTTTAGACAAATCGAAATATTTCCTTTAAAAAAAGGATGCAACTCTAAGGGCTAAGACTTATTAAATTATAATAATAATAATAACTATAAATACTATATCCAGAAAAAAATAATCGAGGCGACTCGTAGTTTTATCTTCATCTAACATTTTTAATTTTTTAAGAGAAAGTTTTAATTTTGAAAACGTTAATACGTTACTTATGCTCTTTAAAGTTTAGTTTAAACTATTTTTTTTCCTACTCCCACCTTTAAAACATGTTTGCATGACACTAAGTGACATTTTAAATATACATTGACAGGTTGTGGCCTTTTGTCGTTTTACATGCGGACTGAAGTTAGCAACAGGTTTTTAGTCACGAGCTGAAGTTAGTTTTAAGTTAGTTTACAAATGTCAAATGTGAAACAATCGTAAAAATAAAGTGCTTTTCTTGTAAAATAATACTAACCATTATTGCAATGATGTGTAGTGACCTTTAAATTTTTATTTTATTTGAAGTAAGGTTCGTGGGTTTAGAACGTAAAATAAAAACAGCTTCCTTTTTTTTTAAGAAAAATTGCCGACGTTTCAAAAATATTTCTTTCGTTCTCAAGGCTAAAAATAAGTTAAAATAGTCGAATTAGTCTAAGACCATTCTCAATATATTACATTACATAAACATAAAGTTATAAATATAATACTGTATATTAGAGTGGGCCAAAAAAATCAACTATTTT